AATGAATACATACACGTTGGTCTTTCAATTCAACAAAAATTTATTGGGTTTCTACTAAATACCTAGGCCTGTGGGACATACTGATATGAGTGGGATAGTCCCTGCCCTCAAAATGCTCACATTATAGTCTAGAAGGCAAGTAAATGCCCCACAAATTATATTGAGACAAAATACAGCTATAAAGTTCTGCTGATTCGACATAAACTCACATAATGCTGAGGAGGAATAATGCTGTTTCAAAAGACCTGAAGAGTCGACTAAGGCCAGCTCTATATTTAGCAAACATGGCCCTAAAACACTATAGAGGAATCTGTGTTTTTAAGTTTTCTCCAAAATTCAGTATTAGAAAGTGCTCCTCTTCTGGGACCCCTCAATACTGGCAAGATACCCCTTTCGCTGTGTGCTACCTGCCGTGGCTCCAACCATCATACACTGAGTCTCCTACAGTGACACTCCAAATGTGTAGCTCTCCTGAGTGCAAGAGTAAAAGCTACTCATAGCTCCTTGGGGGAAGGATAAGCTACCCGGACAAGGGAACCGATCCCCACCTTGTTCTCAAAGCTGGAATATTGGCTGTTATGCTAGCATCCAGGGAATATACTGTCAAATTCTTTGTAGCTTAGGAAAAGGGAGACACAAGGTCTTGCTCTGAATAAGGGATCCTAGAGGCCATTCACCAGGCCCTGTTGGTCATGAAGCTCTGTGGTCCCATCATTCAGATGCCTGTGACTTAACTGGGTCCTGATGATTTGAAGGAAAGTTTATGCCATACGTGGAACCCAGTCAGGGGTGCCAGGGTAGTTTCTGGGTGTCTGGTGGTTTCTGAGGAGCTGAGGGGGCCTGGGGATGGAAGTATGGGAGGTGCTGTATGTAATCCTATGAACGTGTTATTTATTATTACTATTATTAATATTTCAAAGAATGATTTGCCAAATCAGCTTTTTCTGATATTTTAAATTATAGTAAATATCTTACACACATTTTGGTTTGTAAAGTTTCCTATAAGTTGTATCCAAAATTTCAATTTCCATAATTTTCATTTTCCTATTTTTTTGAATGGAGTCATTTTGTTTGTTTGATTTTGTGGGCAAATATATGGCATTCCCCTCTATTAATTATATAAATAATATATGCTTATTGTAAGAAATATAGCAATAGTGTATAAAGTAAAAAATAGAGTCTGCCTCCCACCCCTTCACTTCAATCTCAGCACTAGGAGTAACTATTGCTAACACATTCGGTGGATGTCTTTTCATATCTTATTCCTAAGCATACCCAGTCATATACACAAATATGTACACTTACTGTTTGTTCCCACCAAAATGGAATCACATTATATATACCTGCTTTTGCACATAACCATATACGATGGGCATCTTTTTATTTTGGTAAATAGAGAGCTATCTCATTTTTTTAATGGCTGCATACTATTCTATTGCATTAATAGATTATATTTAATTGCTCCTCATCACATGGACATTGAGGTTGCTTTCATTTTTATCATTATTACAAACAAAAGTGTAGGGCATATCTTTAATATATATTTTTATGGTCTTGATATCTCCATAGGATATTGTTGTTCATCACTGTTTATAACAGCAGAAGATCAGAAGCAACTTACGTGGTTAAACAAATTATGTTAATCCATAAGAGGGAATACTATTCAGCCATTAAACATGATGCTGCAGAAGAAAATGTAACCACATGGGGAAAATGTTCTTGATATGCTGTTAAAGGAAAAATAAAAGCAAACCTCAGTACAACAGAAAACCAATTTTGTTCAGATTATATATAGAAAAAAAAGATTGGAAAATACAAGCAAAAATGTATCTTGAATGGGAGAATTACAGGTTATTTTGGGGGTGGGATTCTGAGTCATTTTAGTTTTACACTTTTGTGGTTTTCGATATTTACGAAACATTTTGCATTCAGATTTTAGTATTTTCAAAATTAGATATCACTTTGAAAAGCTTACAAGTCATAAGTAGCTTCTAGCAAAGCTCACAAATTGAAAGGAAGCAAACGATCCAGAAAACTGAAGCATTCGGTTGAGGCTGGATGGCTCCATGTCCTTCATCAGCCTGTACCGCCACGGAGACAATGGCGGCCAGCAGAAGTCTTCCCATTTTGCACAGCCAAGTGGCTTAAGGTCTGTGTTGATTTTTCCCCACAGGTATGTTCTTGATGACCAGTATGTCAGTTCAGTAGGAACAAAGTTTCCGGTCAAGTGGTCAGCCCCAGAGGTGTTTCACTACTTCAAATACAGCAGCAAGTCAGACGTATGGGCATTCGGTAAGAATGTGGCCACACAGGCCCCGGCCCCATTTCGTAAGCTCGCTTCCGCAACAGGAAACCACAAGAGCAGCAACATCCATTTCTAGCAAAAGCTCTGAGCACTTACGAAATTACCTGTATGGCCTGGGAGAAGCAAGAGATTGAAGATGATGATGACCTTTTCTTGGGTCTGTTAGGATATCTGCCACATATTGTATAATTTGCATCCTGCTAGCACCTTCTCATCAAATCATAGGGGATAAAAGCTCTTCCACTGAAGATTTCAAACAGGTTTTAAAAAGGAGTCATTAAAAATTAAAACCGAGTTTGCAGGGCCGGCCCCGTGGCTTAGCAGTTAAGTGCGCGCGCTCTGCTACTGGCGGCCCGGGTTCGGATCCCGGGCGCGCACCGACACACCACTTCTCCCGCCATGCTGAGGCCGCGTCCCACATACAGCAACTAGAAGGATGTGCAACTATGACATACACCTATCTACTGGGGCTTTGGGGAGAAAAAGGAGGAGGATTGGCAATAGATGTTAGCTCAGAGCCGGTCTTCCTCAGCAAAAGGAGGAGGATTAGCACGGATGGTAGCTCAGGGCTGATCTTCCTCACAAAAAAAAAAAAAAAAAAAAAAAAACCGAGTTTGCACAAAGTCCAAAACCTTGAAGGGCTTAAAATGAAGTCGTAGAGTTTCTGTGTGAAAGCAGCCATGATAACCATTCCCTTCTGTGTTGACTGATTCTTCAGGCATGCCTGGTGTAAACACCAAACATGACTCAGTGCTTTCTTTGGACCATACCAATTTCAACTAGTGTCCTTGTTAAAATTCATCATTTAGATCAGGAGTCAGCAAACCACAGCCCAGGACCCAATCTGGTGGCCTGTTTCTGTAAATAAAGTTTTATTGGAGCACGGCCATGCCTATTCATTTAAAAATTGTCTCTGGCTGATTTTGTGCTGGAACAGCAGAGTAGAGTAGTTGCCACACATACTGCATCACCCACAAAGCTTAGGAAACTTACTATGTGACCTTTTACAGAAAAAGTTTGCTGACCCCTATTTTATTAAAAGATCAATATTGAAATTTAATAAAGGTAATTAGAAAGCAGAAACAATTCTTAAATTGTGATTTTGTAGACTTTCTGATATTTTTCTACGTTGTGAGGAATGTCAGGCCTGTTTACAATCACTGTCAGATGGACCCAGGATAAATAATCCAAATTATTGTAAAGTTACAGAATATATTAAATGTGACTGAGACCTATTTTGTGCCTGTCTTAGTCCATAAGCATAATTTGACTTTCTATATGACATCCAAAAGACTGCCTGAAAAAAAAGAAAATTTAGTTAGCCATTTATTTTTCTATGTGACACAATTTTTTAAAATAATTATTCCTTTTGCAAAAATGGTATTGTTCATTTAAAAAAATAATCCAATATACACACAAAAAGGAAACTTTTTGTGATAGAAAGATAGCATTTTGGTGAATACTTGATGTCATTTTGTGCTGATTAACTTGTCAAAATTGGTTTCAATCTCCTTGTTTCAATTGATATGCCTTATGAAACATATTTTTAAAAATCAGTATCCTTACTCAATAGTTATAGTTTGTTTTTGACAAAAAAAAATTGCATTACTCGGCTTGATTACTCACCTTATGCACTAGAACTTGGCTCTAGAAATTTTCTGGCTATTTCCAGAAACTAAATCTATTCTTAAATAATTTTTCCCCAATAAGGATATTCAAAATGAACCAGGGCCTCTGAAAGCAATTCTCAAAGAGGAGTCCCACAGATATTTTAAGCAATGATATTATTTTTGAGGTCAGCGGATAGCCTTCCAAAGAGAGAACTGTGAAGGGAGCAACATACTTTTGAATGGTTTTAGAAACTTTGTTTAAAAAAAATACAGCCACAACTTGTAATATTGCCTCATTGTAAATGTTTTACATAAAATCTGTAGGCCTGAAAGTCAAAGAAGTTTTGAAGGTAGTACTTCAGTTATGATTCTAGAAAAGTTTTCTTCCTTCTTACATATTTCTTGTTTGCCACGGTTTTGAAACTGGCTGACTGTTGAAATTCTCTGGCTTGGCCAGTATGACAGCACAGTGGCCACCATTTAGAGAGCAGTTAAAATATCCTCGTGCTCTTTTAAGTGCTCTGCATGTTTTATCCTATTTAATCCTCATGGCGACTCTATGATGTGCAAGTATCCACATATTACAGACAGGGAACCTGAGCTGAGAAGGGTTCAGAAACTTGCCCAGCCTATACACGGCAGAACTGGGCCTCAAAGGCCGTGTCTGACTGACCCCAAATGCTACCCTCTTGACCACCATGACCAGAACTCGGTTTCTTAACCTGGAGTCTGCAATGCCCTTGATGGGGCACTGTGAACCTCCAGAAACCGAACTCAAAAATGCTATGCTATGTGTTCACTTTCCTGAGGGAGAGCCAATGGCTTTTATCAGATTCTCAAAAGATCCACAGAATGTTATGAACCACTGTGGCAATAAGAAGAGGAGGAACATTATCAATGATTTTATCTTTACATTTCCACTGAGAGGTGATTTGATTGTGCAGTGAAGTTGTTGCACACAACCGCCAGGCAGGGCGAGAGAAAGGGCGAGGGCTTCAGTCCACCACTCCTAAGGCTGGGAGCCAGGTGGTCGTCACGGTGGACTGAACGAGGCCCAGCCGCCTCTCTGAAGCAGCCCAAGCTACCCCAAGTAGCTCCCTCTGCAGATGCCCTTGCCATCTTTTTACCAGCAAGAACGGGCGTCCGGGTCTCAGGGAACAAAGGGAAGAGACCCTGGGCTCCAGAAGTGATGATACAGCTCACCTTCCATACCCTGTCCATTTTGCTAGGACTCATTTCCGAAGGATCCCTCGCTCTGACCCATAGCCTTCCTGACCTGGCGTGTGAAGCTCACTTGACAAACTCCGTCCCTTCTGATATTGGCTCTCTTTCCTTTTTGTCTGCCGGCCACCCCTCGGTGCGGTGCAGGGATCCTGATGTGGGAAGTGTTCAGCCTGGGGAAGCAGCCCTACGACTTGTATGACAATTCCCAGGTGGTTGTGAAGGTCTCCCAGGGCCACAGGCTCTATCGGCCCCATCTGGCATCGGACACCATCTACCAGATCATGTACAGCTGCTGGCACGAGGCAAGTGCACCACCAGGGGGAGCTGGAAGTGGAAGGGGTGCCGGTCTCATCCAGGGTGGTTGCTGCGTCACCGCTGGGCAAAGCATTTTCGAGGGAAGGCACTTGCTACAGAGCGGGTGGAAATGGCCCTGGGACCCTGCCCTCAAGTGTTTGTGATGTAAAACAAGCAGCGTAGGTGCCAAAAGTTTAACAAACACCTTATGTCTGGCACTGTTCTGAGAACTTGATAAATATTAACTCATTTATTCATCAGGAAACACACTATGAGGTAGACACTATTATGGCTAAAACTAACAGAAGAGGAAACAGACCCAAAGAGGTTAAGTGACTTGCCCAAGGTCACACAGCTAAGAGGCAGGCTGGCTAGTGTCCAAGTCCCTGTTCTTAACCACACACTATGCGGTCTCTCCTCAAATAGAATATGTATAACAGAGACCGTCTAACCAAGTGTAGAGAACACATAATGGACACCACTCCGTCCTCTCTTCCCATGCCTCCCAAACGCTGAATAAAAGCATTCCATGCAGGTAGAGAGTGAGAGTATCTTTCCGGGTAGACTTGCAGCTGAAATTGCACGGGATTAATTTGCAAAGCATCTACCATGCTCGTAGAACTAAGGGGGATGTTAAGGAAGTATGAGGCTCCATCTCTGCCCTGGCCAAACTCAGTCTTTACACACACACACACACACACACACACACACACACGCACTCACATTGTAGGACTGAAAACATCAAGCAGTTTATAATTATACATGCAAAGTAGAAGCATAGGCAGATACAAAAAGAGTTCAACGGAGAGGGAGGCCAGCTTGCTGACTGCATCGTTATCTGAGCCAGGTCAGGAAATCTCTGCAGAATGTCCATCGGTGTGTGAGAGGAGACGTTGTCAAAGGGTGTCCAGGTGAGAGGAGCACAAGCAAAGTTGCAGAGACGAGAATGAGCATGGCGTGCTTGGCTATAGCTATTGTTGGAAGGGCTGGAAATTCATTTGGAAGAGTAGATCTGGTCCAGAGTCTGTAGACCGAATGATGAGGAGAGGAGTGTGAGTTTTGCTTTTGATAGGTGATGGAGAGCCACTGAAGACTTTTGAGCGACATGATAAGAGGGGACTTTTAAGAACATGAATCTAAGAGCCCATAGCTCATAGCCATTATATGGTACTGCCTCATTGACAAAAGGGCCTAATGCTGCATTCATGCTTTCATGCGTTCATTCATTCACTAGTAAAAAGCAGATTGGTGTTGTGGTTAAGCATGTGGACTCTGGAGCCAGAATGTCTGGGTTGAATGCTAGCTGTGTGACCTTGTACAAGCCTCCTAACATCTCTGTGCTTCACTGTGAAATAGTACTTAACCGACAGGATTATTGTATGGATTGAATGAGTTAATTTTACAATGTCCTTAGAACAGTGCCTGGTACACAGTAAGTGCTCTAAGTGTTTGCTGTTCTTGTATTTACAGAGCACCTATGCACCAGGCACTATGCCTGGTGCTTGGAATAAATTGCCACACACTACTTAAAGAGTTCCTAACCTCTTGTGTTGGAGCCTAGAGTCCCACTTTGGAAGAGTTGCTGACTGCATCACATAATAATATTTTATTATTTAGCCTTGAATTATCTCCTGGAATATGGATGCTTTGTGATTTCCCATCCTATGGCACTCGGAATACTGTACAAGGCTGTCCCACCCTTTTTACCCCAAATATAGTGTCTAAGGTGCTGAGAGCCTCAGGCAGTGCTAGAGGGTCAGATTGGGTCAGAGGAGAGTTAGAGACCTGTCACTGCCCACAACCAGGCTGACTTACTGCTGTCACCTGTCAGATGGAGATGAGGAGCAGACAAGGAGTTTTTGAGTTGAAGCCATGAACCTCCCTGGCCCTCCCCACTCTAGCTCCTGGGGATATGACTTCACCATCAGATGGACAGGGGGCCCGGAACAGGAAGGAACTGCCTTCTTCCCACAGCTGGTCCAAGAAAGCCAGTGAATTGTGGCAGAATCCTTTGAGAGGGGTTTGCACAGAGACAATCCCCAGTTGAAGGTTCTGCATATAGTGAGCATTCTGTACATTTTGGTATCCCCTTTTTTATATTTTATTTTGCAACTTTTGTAAGAACATTCACAATTTTCATTAGATTCTGATTCATCTTTCTCGTATTTCTTTGCACAAAAAGGAGCACGTATGTATATGTGTTTTTGTTTCCGTTTCTTTCTTACAAAAAAAGTAGCAAATTCTTCTCCACAGGTGCTGCCCCTCTAGCAATGTACCTATTTTCCCACAGTCTCACCAACAGAAACCATTGTCAAGCTTCTGAATTTCTGACAATCTGATAGATGAGAAGTAGCATTTTAGTGCAGTTTTCATATGTACGTCTTCCATTATGAGGGAGGTAGATTTGTAAGGGCATTTGTATACCTTTCTGACAATTATATGTCAAGTCTTTTCCATTTTTCTATCAGGTTTTTGTTTCTCCCATCTCGATTTTAAAGATCCCCTTATAAATTAAAGAGATTAACACTTTATCTGTGACACAAGTTGCAATTATTTTCTCCCAGTTTTTGTCATTTATCTTTTGATTTAATTTATGGTATTTTTTGCCATGCGAAAGTTTTTTTTTAAAAATATAGTTGACTATATCAATATTTGCTTTTATTGCTTCTGGAAACTGAGTGATAGTTAGATAGGCTTTCCCACACCCAGATTATAATGGCATTCACTCAGATTTTCCACTAGTACTTTTCTGGTTTCATTCTTTTTCATTTAAGTCTCTGATCTAGTTGGTGTTTGTTTTGGTGTATGGTATAAAGCACGGATCCAAAAATCTTGTTTTCTAAATGACTACCCATTTGTTGCAGCATCATTTATTAAAAGACCATGTTATCCTCAGTCATAAGATAGCATCTAATGGTGTTGAAATACCCCCTAACATTGTACGAAATTTCTATATGTATTTGGGTTTGTTTTGGGACTTTCTCTTCTGTTCTGTTGTCTCAAATCATGTGCAAGCACTAAATTGTTTTAATTATAAAGATTTTATAATAGGTTTTAATACTAGGTAGGCTACCAGCCCCTCATTGCTCATCTTTCTTTATAGTTTTCTTAGCCGTTTTTGCATATTTAAAAAATCTATGAACTAGAGAATCAATTTGTTCAGCTTGAAACCAACTTGTTCATGTTTTGGAGGAGATTGTATTTAGTTTATATTTTAACTTGGGAAATTTGACATCTTTATGATATTGATTTGTCCTATTCAAGAACAAGCAACATTTACTTTTCTATGTGGTTCAAGTCTGCATTTGTATTTTTCAGCAATGTTTTAAAGTTTTCCTCATTTAGGGGGTACATTTTTGTTAGTATTTTATTTTAGTGTTGTTGCTATTGTAAATGGGGTTTTCTCTTCCATCATATCTTCGAATTGGTTATTGTACATATATATGAGGGCTATTGATTTTGTATGTTAATTTTATATATTGCTCTCCTGGTGAATTCCTTTATTATTTGGGTTGGTTCTATCATTGATTCTCTTGGTTTTTCCAGGTATACAATCATATCTTATGCAAATAAAGATATTTTTACTTTTTCTTTTCCAATTCTTAGGGCTCTAGTTTTCTCCTTAGTAGAAATGTCTGTAGAGTTTCCACATTTTAAAAGTTGCTAGCTTTAGGACTGAGGTATAAATATTTTATATAGTTTATTTTTAATCATAACCTTCATAAACTAAACCATTGGGTTTTTCTTTTATTTAGCTTCCAGAAAAGCGACCCACATTTCAGCAACTCCTATCTTCCATTGAACCACTTCGGGAAAAAGACAAGCCTTGAAGAAGAAATTAGGAGATCTGATGAGAATGAATATAAATGTTGGCCAACATTTTCATTCTTTTTAAGGAAAGTAGCAAGGCGCAGACAATGTAATTTAGCTAGTTCTTCTTAATGGTATTCTGTGTGTCGTTTGTCTGTTATATTATCTAGAAATGTACAAGGTAGGAAACAAAAGATTTCCTTGAAATTTAGGTCAAATTAGTAATTTTGTTTATGCTGCTCTTAATATTACACTTCCTAGCCTATAGCAGAAGCACATTTTCTGATTGCAATGTAGAGAGGGTGTGTACCATGTGTAAAGATTGAACAGAATTGAAAAATTATTTGTTGGATATTTGTTCTTTTCTTTAATTGTCACTATCATGATAATTAAATACGCTATTAACAAGTACAGAAAGGTGGACATTTGCCTTTATGTTTCAATGTTCTCAATCTTTAGCATACATGAGAATCAAATGGAGAGTTTATTAAAACACAATTCCTAGGAACTACCCCAGAGATTCTGGGAGAGCAGGTCTGAGTGCAGCCTGAGAATCTGTGTTTTTAACAAGTTCCCATGTGTCCCTGTGTAGTCAGGCTGAACTGCCCTGGGGGACCTCATGTGGTAGGCATCATTAGGTGGTCCATAATTGAATCCACATGACACAATTCTCATCTGATATCCGGATTAGAACAATGACTCTTTATGTCATCATGTACACAAATATAAAACTAAAGTTAAATTATATTATTGAATAATATAGTAACTATGTTTCACATAGAGCAAATTTTAAAAGATGCTAAGGTATAACTTGATGCCCTTTTCCTTAACCTTAACCATTATCAATCTCGACTCAAGTGCAACCATGAACTTATATCTAGAATTGATTAGATTGTTGCTTTCTAAACATTTTAAATCCTTGAGTTTAGGGCTCTGGGGCTTCTGGCTAGTTTGATAACTGCAGTTTCTATTTCAGTCTTCTATTTTGACACAAAAGTACAAAAGTACTATTTTAGCTTCTCATGGCTATTACT